TCTGCGTCTGTGTGTGTGTGTGTCTCTGTGTGTGTGTCTCTGTGTGTGTTATGTTGTGTTGCGGCAGGAGAAATCACTTTAGAGACGCTCCACTTCGGTGCCGACTGTGACCGACTCGCTCCGCGGCTCGTTGTGGACTCTTCAGGTCTACTCGAGTCTTCGCCGCCGCTCAGAGGGCGATCATGTTTATCAAGTCCAGGAGGGAGTTCCATAAACTTGTTCCCCACATTCCAACAGGTTTGACTCAAACTGCTGTAACTCTGAGTTCTCTACAGGAAGTGATGTCATAGTGAAACTGATGAAAGGCGGCGGGCGATGTGCATTCCTTCAAGGTCTCTGATACCAACAGCTGCTGGTCCCAGTAAAAAGGAGCGAACTGGTTTTTCTCTTCAGTAACTCCTGCAGGCTGTCGTTCAGCAGCTCCTCTCTGAACCACCTGCACACGAAGCTTCGTGTCCCCGAGATGTTTCTCCTGAAACGCCTCTCCTTCCTCCACATCAAACTCCCACCCTGACGGTAAACACGCCTCGCCACCGTCTGCTGTCCCGCCTGCAGCAGCAGGTCTCCTCAGACCCGTTCTTCATGACAAACCGGACAGGTTCACCTCCAGAAACTGCTCCGATCATCATGATGCTGCCACCGCCGTGCTTCGCTGTGGGGATGGAGCAGCGTGACGACGAGCGCCGCTGGTTCGTGTCAGACACCGTTTCTCTCCGGTGACCCAAAAAGCTTCATTTCAGCTCAGTTCTCCGGCAGAATCACGGCTGCTGCTCCTCCCTGAGCTCACACTGTTGGACACTCAGTCCCATTCTCAACAAACGTCCACGTCGGGTTGAGACGTCAAAATCCAAGATGGCTGCTGCCATATGTTTATGTAAACTGACCACCCCATCATGAGGAAACTACGCTTTCTAGTTTTATTTTACTTAAAAGTATATTTCCTCAAACGATTGGAGTGACCAAAGATTAATCTGAGGGAGCTCCTGAAACATCCGTGGTTTGAGTGGAGGGACTTTTGGAAAAGCAAAAAAATATATTTTAAAATGTACCTTCAGAAGTTGCACCTAATCAGTTCTACAGGAAATAATCCAGCGACGGAGGAGAAAAGGGGGGTTAATTGGGGCCACTGGCTCCCTACAAGCCTCATCCATCCATTTCTCACCAAGATAACTAGAAAATGGGATCTTTAAAGCCATTTGGATGATTAATTTACATTACGGCCCCACTGGGCCACGATTAGTATTCCAGAGGGACGGAGCAGCTCAAATATTAGCGGCTCTCCTCGGTGATTACAGGCTCATTGTCCCGAGCGTTGGAGGAGATTTGGGTTTAGAGCCAGGTGGGACTTAGGTCTTCGGTTCGGCTCGTTTAGATCACGGCCTCGTCTCGTTTGTAACAAAGCTGCTACTTTATCAGTCCTCTCAGATTTACATGAATACAAATCTAACGTGTAATCAGTCCGATGCCGAGTGTTCTGTAGATTTGTAAAGTCGGGTCAGATGAAGTCTTAAACACAGAGACACTCATGATGCGGCGTCTCCTGAAGGGATTAAAACGCCTGAATAGAGCATGACAAATTAAAAAGTCACCCCCGGGGGGATTAATCCGACTTGAATGTGGATTTATCCGCCTCCTCTCCATCACTGTGGACCAAACATTAACGAACGTTGATGAAGTGACGAACTTTGAGGATCTCTCATTGAAACATGTTGGACTGTTCTTGTTGCTGAAGCTCATGGTCTCCTCAGCTCGGGTCTCCCTTGGGGTTCAAAACAAAATCAGATCCTTACAATACAAGTACAGTCCATTATATACCAAGTAACGCCCATTATATACCAGTAACGCCCATTATATACCAGTAACGCCCATTATATACCAAGTAACGCCCATTATATACAAGTACAGTCCATTATCCATATAATCCATGATCGGATTTAGATCTAGTTTTTCATTGATGCTGATTCTGTTTATGCTTTTGTTATTATTCTTATTTTTTTTTTTTTTTTTTTTATTCTTATTTAACACAAGGTCATCAGATCTAATTTAGTATTTCATTGTTTCCAATTATGTTTTCTGTTTTATATTTTTATTCCATGTGCTGTAAATATATCTTGTTACTTTTTATTTGATGTTGTGATATTTTTGTTAAGCACTTTGGTAACAGTTTCTATTTTAAATGTGTTCTATAAATAAATCTGACTTGACATTATATACAAGTACTGACCATTATATACAAGTACTGTCCATTATATACAAGTACTGTCCATTATATACAAGTACTGTCCATTATATACAAGTACTGTCCACTATATACAAGTACTTTCCATTATATACAAGTACTGTCCATTATATACAAGTACTTTCCATTATATACAAGTACTGTCCATTTCCATTCAAATAAAACTTGATTCTTTCTATAATCTGTCTTTATAATAAATTATCTATAATCAAAGAACAATAAAAACATCCCAATAAATTAAACGTGTCGTTGCCTTAAATGTCTACTCCTGTGAGAAGTGCTCTAAAACAAAGTTTGATGGATGTGATCTGAGGGTAGGAACTTTTCCGAACAATAAAAACCAGGAAATAATAAAACGAGCGTTTTAAAGGAAACGGTCTCGAACAGTAAACGGTTTGTTGTTTCAGTTGAATTAAAAAAACACGTACGGGATGAAAGCGCCCAGCTTTAAATAAACCGAAGTGTAAGAATCTTAAAACAGTTTTTATTCGAGTCTTTTCTTTCTGTTGTTGTTTGGAGGTTTTTAATTTAAGGAAGCTGCTCATCAGCAGCTCCCTGCTGGTCCCAGCAGAGCAGCAGCAGCTGCTTTCGTTTCATTTGCTCTTTGAAATCTAATTCTGCAGATCTCGTCAGGAGCCCCGAGGGAGCCGGCGAGTCGAGGAGCACGGGACCAAAAGACACGCCGTGGAAAAGAAAAGAACGGTTAATCAGAAAGATGGATGATGGGCTGAAGGTACCTGCTGCTGCTCCTTGTTGTTGTTTACCTCCACAGGTTGGAAACATCAGAGGAGCGTTTGTTGAAGCGTGTAAACTCCAGGATCTAAATGATTCAAGTTACACCGTCTCCTCCTTCGTGCTGCATTCAAGGACCGACATCGTCCCAAAAAACGATTTCGGAAAGTATCGAAGCCTAAAAGGGCCAAAACTGAGTCCATCTCCATCTTCTGCAGCTCATCTGTCGTCAGGTCGAGGAGGCAGCAGGTCCAGGAGAGGAACCCAGACCTCCTCCTGTCCAGCTCCTCCTGCAGGGACCCCGAGGTGCTCCCAGACCAGACGGGATATTTATTTGTATTCATTCACCATCATCAAAGGTGATACCAATGTATTTGAATGTTTGTCAGTAAAATATCTCCTGACCCAGTGGCTGGACGTTGGAGTGGTAGTGGCTGAGAGTCGTACCTGTTCTTGTTGCTGGAGATCCAGTCAGAGATGTAGGCCACGGCCTGCCGGTGGCACTGCTTGTTCCCGAAGCTGCAGGCCAACATGATGAGCTCCCTCTGCAGCTCTCTGCACACAAACACAACCCAGCTGACTGAAGCAGGTTCTGGTTCTGCTGGACCACACGAGTCCAGCAGAGACGGAGGAAGCGCTGACTCCTCCTCCACACGTGACCGTCCGAACACGAGAGGATGGATGGATTCAGAAAGTTCCACCAAAACCCTCAAGGCTCTTCATCTCCACACAAGATGTTTGTTTCCGACTCAGACGTGAACGGAGGTTCATAAAAATGTTCGCCTTTAATTAAACATTAGTTTAAAGTTGTTGTGGATTTTCTCTGATCCTCACAGATTCAATAAATCTATAAACTCTAAATCTGGTCACAAGTGGAGCTGAAGCTTCTAGAAGATCTGAACGGGTACAGGTCTATTCACTTCCTGTTAGTGATCATGACTGACTGGTACTTTCTCTGACTCATTGGACTGACCAACGTGTCCCTGTCCACCACTGCCCCTGTCCACCACTGTCCCTGTCCCCCACTGTCCCTGTACACCTGCGTCCCTGTCCACAGTGAGACCAGCTCTCTAGATTACCATGGACTTCAAGCTGGACTGAAGCCTGCAGCTGTCCACATGGACAAGTGTCTTCTGGAGTCCAGGTAGGACTGCTCCAACTGTCAGGCATGGTGGTGGTAGCATCATGCTGTGGTACAAAGTGAGGAGGACTACCTCCACATTCTTTAACTCCACCTCAAATCAACAGCTGGACGGTTGGAGCTTGGACAAAGTTGGGTCAAACAGGACGATGGTCCCTAAGACACACCTGCACTGGTTTCTGTTTGGACGAAATATCAGAATTGGTTTCTGATTGGATGAACCATCAGAACTGGGTTCAGAATGGATAAAACATCAGAACTGGTTTCTGATTGGATGAAACACCAGAACTGGTTTCTGATTGGAACTGGTTTCTGATTGGATGAAACATCAGAACTGGTTTCTGAATGG